CTTCTGCAGACTCTCAGTAACGTCACGCAGGCAGGCAGCTCTTCTGCAGACTCTCAGTAACGTCACGCAGGCAGGCAGCTCTTCTGCAGACTCAGTAACGTCACGCAGGCAGGCGGCTCTCCTGCAGACTCTCAGTAACGTCACACAGGCAGGCAGCTCTTCTGCAGACTCTCAGTAACGTCACGCAGGCAGGCGGCTCTTCTGCAGACTCTCAGTTACGTCACGCAGGCAGGCAGCTCTTCTGCAGACTCTCAGTAACGTCACGCAGGCAGGCAGAGGTGTGTGAGAGCCAGCAGTGGGCAGAATGTGGCAATACAAGTGTACCTCCCACAACTGACTTAAAACAATTGCTTGAAAGAGATGTCAGAGGCAGATTCACTTACTGTCGCACCTTTGCCCATTTTGGAAGCCTGCGACTGTCTGAAATTGGAATTGCTCCACTTTTATTCTAAGGAGTATTGGTCCTGGAGAGCCACAGCCTCTCGTGGTGTTTTTCTCCAGCTGTGCTCTCAGTTATTGCGTTTGTATTGTATTATATGTATTTGTGCCGTTAAGCACACACATCACAAGCTGTGGAGGGCTCTACTCTTTATTGAATACAGATGTCTGTAAGTGCTTTATGACTGTGCCTCCCCAGGGCCTGGCCTGGCGCTGGAAGATAGTAAATATATAGATGAAACAAAGTTCAAAATGACATCTTTAATGCACCGGTGGCACATAAAAAATGCCATTTTGAATAATTAATAATAACTGGAAGTAATTAATAACTAGAAGTACAGGGAGAAATAATGTTTTATAAAAATTGTGTTAGTTGCGACACTAATTCATCAGCCATGCCAATGAAGCCCTTTGAATTGAATTGCCTTTTGCCAGAGTACCGTATTGCTAAACATGCAGAATTCTAACTCGGAGGAAACACCAGACCATTCTGCAGAGCTAGATGGATCACATGGACCTGTGTGATTTGAAACTTTGCAGAGTATGCGCATGCATCAGTTTGTCATTGTAAACTGTAATTGTAATCATCTGCCTTGGGCGGACAATTCCGGAATTGAATCATTACTCCATATTACCCCAACCAGATCAGTTGACTAATGTGGCGTGCCTGTATCATCAGCCATGTTTCTGGTGAGTGCAGCCTCTTACCAACAGGACCCTGGTGCAGGTCTGTGCAGTACTGGTGAGCTATAAACAGGCCACACTTTCTTGCCCGCTCTGAAGAGGCCGACATGAGAATTTCTGCAACCTGACGCCTTGCAACTGAGAAGTGTTTACAAAACAGGTTCTTCCTTTTCTCCTGCTTGTAAGAAATGCAAAATTCCGATGAATGAGGTGGCATCTCCTTCCAGAGGATGATTAGCAACATTCCTCTGAAGATTAGCCCTGAATTCAGGCTTCAAATGAATAACAATAGCGGACTGGGAGCTGTTAAGTGTCAGTTATTTAAGAAATAGAAATCAAAGGTTTGGCCCATCACCCAGACAATGAATTCGGTCTATAATAATTATGCAGAAATCTGGGGGGGTTTCTTTATATGCTGCGTGTTTTTCGTAAACAGACCCTTCTGTTTTGCCTTTTTGGAAAGATAATGCAAAGCCAAGTAAGTGAAGCCTGTGATATTGAAAACCCAAACTGAAAGGGATCAGGGAAGTATGTGGCACAGAGTGCGTGAGTTTTGTGTTGCTAATTTTACAGATATGCACTTCCTGCATTACACAAGCAGGACTGCGTTTTGGGAGGAAACGGGGAAAAGCACTAAGACTAAGTTAATGTTAGGAACATGCCAGCAATAAGTGCAGGTTGTGTGGTATGTTTTTTAATTCCACAAATATTGTCTTGTGGGGGGTGCTGTCTTCTTTGGGGTTGAACAAGGAAAAGCTAAAGATTTCTAAAATCATTTGCCTTTCTAAGGACTGTTTATATCCTCAATATACTTTAGGTGAATTTCCAAATTAAATTTGTAATAAACATATATTTGACCTTTTTAGTCTGTATAATTGTATATGTCATTACATAAATAGGGATACCATTAAATTGTGAATATCTGTTCATCTTTTATTCAATAGTTTACTCTTAATACCAAATTCGATACGGTGTAGTGGCTCTGTGGCTCAGGATCTGTGCCTGTGGCTGGAAGGTTGCCGGTTCGTAACCCGCAGCCACCAGAAGAATCGTGCTCCGTTGGGCCCCTGAGCAAGGCCCTTCACCCCAGCTGCTCCAGGGGTGCCTTATGAATGGCTGACCCTGCGCTCTGACCCCCAGCTTCTCTCCCTGTCTGTGTGTCTCATGGAGAGCAAGTTGGGGGTATGCGAAAAAACTAATTCCTAATATGAGAAATTGTATATGGCCACTAAAGTGATCTTATCTTATGAATTCAGTTCAGTCACTGCCGTATTCCATTTCTTGTGCTGGTATGTGTTACCTTTTTTGTCCAGGATCTGAATATCCAGGCCTGTATGATTACCAGCTTTTCCCTGCTAAGAAATTCTGTGTAATGACTCCTCTTTCAATGCTTCTCCCCAGTAAAGCAGCGGGTCTCTGTACAGCAGGAGTGTCTCTCCTCTGCGCCAGTGGAGGAGTTTGTTTCTGAGCACGGAGCAGTTGCAGTCTCTCCCTCTCACTCCTGTGTCCTTCTCCCCTGCAGGTGACAGTGCTGTCGACCCGACTGCTGAAGCCGGCCGATGTCCCGGAGCTCCTGTTCGCCACTGACCGTCTGCACCCAGATATCGGCGTCTGAGCCTCTCTCTCGTGGAGCGGAGGAGAGATGAACCAGGGAACCTCTGCTGTCCGGCGGCTCCTTGTTTTCATCAGCCGTATATAAAGATCTGAAACTCTCGTCTCTTAGCAAGACGACCATGTAAATCACAGCCTCGGTGGCAGCGATGCCGCGGTCCCCTCAATCTGTTCTTTGACAGCTAATGATGTTCTACACGTTCTTCCTCCATGAGGTTATTTTGCTACTTTGTTTGGTGCTGAAAGATCTTAATGCTGTTGTGTATTTTCTGTGTGCTCAATATAACCCCCTGCTGACTCTGGGCTGTCAATGCTGTTTTGGTGTCCTTTGTTCTGGGTATTTGAACTGGAAATGTCCCTCCTCAGCACTCACTCGCCTCGAGCCACTGCTGAGTGAGAGGCGTCCCATCGAGACCCGCGGTCCGCGGCCGGTTACGTATTTCAGCTGTTCGGTGTTGACAGAGCCCTCGTGTATGAGCCGAGGCATCGTCCCAGTGGCAGATCGGAAAGTGAAGCCGGCTCAGTGCAGCCCTCCGGGGCCTGGACAAGCCCCCTTCCTGCTGTTGGGAAAGATGTTCAGGGAAGGTCGGAAAGGGCCCCACCCTGGGGTCCCGACTAGGTGTGGGGAAGCCCGATATACATGGAGCCATGGCTTCAGTGCAAGAGCAGTTCATACGTTTGTGGGAGAGCATGACAGCATTTGCATTAATGACTAATATGTGAACTGGCGATTAGTGACTGTTGAGGGTGGCTTATATAACTAAGTGTGAACAGTTTTAAACGGGTAAGGAGCAAAATGTGAGAGGTGCCTTGATTTCCATCACTACCTCCAACGCCTTGTTTTGTAAGTACAGTATATGGTTTATCCTTTTGTCATCATTGTGACCATTGTGGTCTGACCTCACAATGGCAGTACATTTTTTTTTTTTTAATTCGAGTTCAATTCAGACAAACTGGAGGGGAAAAAACAAACAACTGAAAGATCTAAGCTTTGATAGAGGGTCAGTATGTCATGAAACTGGAAGGGAGTTGAAGGAGAAGCCGGAGACTGTCCATTCAGGGAAGGCGTCTATGCCATCACGTCCCCTGTGCGCTGGGACTTAGGCCTCCGTCTCGCCCTGGTTTGCACTGACGGTGGAGACAGCTCCTGCCCGCAGAGCTGAACGCCCACAAGGTCCAGCAGCGGGGCTGGCCCTGCCAGCTGTTGGGGGCGCACTGTTGTGCCCATGGAGACCGGGGTGTTGGAGAAAACAGATTGGGAATAAACACCTAATGGCACATTTCCGCCAGTTAAAAAACTGAAAGGGCAGCACCTCTGCTTTTTGTACAGCGAGTTTTGGTTCTGACAGTAGCAGCTTACTGGGCACTTGTAATACATTACTGGCTCCTCTGCTGTTGCATCTCTGTGCTTGAAGGCAGCAGAATGTTGAACTCATCTTGTTTACAGTTGCTATGGTTTCCTTCCTTCCCAAAGCCACTGCAGCCTGTGAGCGCCTTTCAGCAAATCATTTCTGAAAAGCATTAGGGATGTGGTTAAAAAAAAAAAAAAGACTCAGTGTGTAGCTGGGGTTTGTTTTTGGCTCCTCTATGTATGACTTGGAAGCAGACAAACAGTGTTGAACAAACAATTCCATGAGCACACTGGAATATGTAGTACCCTAATTTTATTTTCTTTAGTCCAGCTAAAGACCATAATGTTTTATCACAAGTATTTTACCAGAACACTTGATAACTGGATGAAATGGGAAAAAAAACAGGACAATCCAGCTGTGTGTGCGCGCGTCTTGCACGACCCTACCCGAGAACGAGAGGGCTCTTTCCATTCACACAGGCCAGGGCACGGTGCACGCAGGGCTCTGCCGTCGCACTTCCAAAAATCCCATTTCAGTTCCAACAAGCCTCGAGAGATCCTTTCCGATGACTATTTTTTTCCAGCTTCAAAGCCTCCCTGCTCCCTGTCAGAAGTGTTCAATAGTTTTTGCTGCTGCTTGAATGAGCCTTTTATTAGACCTTGGCTAGTGACGCACGCAGGCAGAAACACAAGGCTGCAGCACTCTTCCACAAGCTGCTTGAAGTTTGTGGGTAAGTGACACACAAGCCACTTTAAGAGGTACTGGGAGATTTTAAAGGAAATCAGGGGAAGCTACCATTTCTGAAAGCATTCTGTGTGCAAAGAAAGCATTTTGTTAATATTCAGGAATAATTTGGCAGAAGTCAAAAGGCTTAACTGATCCATCACTTCCTGCCACCATCAAACACCACATGAACCAATTTATAAACACGCGTTTGTCCAGCTTGGTTAGTAAAAATCCCAATTAATTGTAGAAAAGGACCCTGTTAGTCTGCAAAAAAAACAACAAAGCAGTTAAGTGATTTGTTCAAAATTTTATTTTGAAACAGATGACCAAAAGGACCTCCTCCTCAGGAGAAAGTAGCTGGTATAATAACTTACAGTTGCCAAGCAAAAACACTTACGGCTTCAATAAAGTGCATTCAGAGAGACTTCAGCAGAGTCTCAGTGGGCATCCGCTACCCCACAGCAAACACACCCAGGCAATCCCTCGTCTTGTTTCTAGTGATGTGTAACAGCAGCTCAATACACAAAGCAGAAGCTCTGCTTACAAAACACGAGCACAGGCTAGACAAGACACGAGCTCCAGGTCCCTGCAAGAAAGGGGACACCAGATAGAGGAAAGGACTGGGGTTCGAGAGCCTCCGCTGTCACCTTCATCAAGCCAGCCTCTAAACCACCCTGCCTGTCCTTCAGAGCTCAGGTTGCCAAGGGAAAAGGTCAAGTCAGCTTCCACTCCAGCTGGATGCCGAGTGATCCCATCCAACCCCAGATGTGCGTCCGTTTAAAGCGTCGCTCCACTAACGGACCAGGGCAGGCACTCTGCCCCTCCGGAGCGGCGGTCCACACGTCACTTCACTGCAACAGATCCAGGAAGTAGGCGACCCTCCCTCCCCATCGCAGTCCAGAGTCACATGCTCGGTCACCCTCTCGAAAGGCTCCGCTGCCCCTGCGGGGGCGAGAATCGACTCCGCTTCTCCGTCACACCTCGGCGAGGAGGCGGGAGCTCGGCTGCTCGGCGTGGGTCCTCACTGGAGCGCCCCTCCAGCCCCGCGCGGCGCTTCACACCGAGGTCACCGTCCTCACTTTGGCGGACAGGGCCTGCTTGAACCTCCTCTTCAGGTCCTGCATGTTGGGGGACTTGGGCCGGGGGATGAGGGAGGTCCTGCGCTTCTCCGAGCCGCTGGGCGGCGGCGGCTGCTTGTTCAGGTCGCGGCACAGCAGGTGGAAGGCGTTGTGCACGTCGTTGTAGTTCTCGCTGGCCGACACCTGGCAGAAGGCGCAGCCCAGCGCCCCGGCCAGCTTCAGGCCCTGCTGCGGCTCCACCTGCTTGGCATGCAGGAGGTCGGCCTTGTTGGCCACCAGGGCGACGGGCACCCTGCTGTCCGGGTGCACCTGCCGCACCTGCTGGTGCAGCTGGCCGACGAGCTCGAAGCTCTGGCGGTCCGTGACGGAGTAGACCAGCACCACCGCGTCCGCCCACCGCACAGAACGGGCCACCTGCTCGCCGGACAGCCCGCACACCTGGGGGAGGAGGCAAGACGGGCTCGGTTAGACCAGCAGGAGAACACGCCGCTTCGCTTGAACGAGCTTCACGCCGTGCACCTACAGCCTCCACAGCCTTCGGTCAAGCTGTCCGACTCAACCGGGCCGGAAGCAGAAGGGAACGGCGAAAAGCCAAACGCAGCAGACAAGCAGAGTATCATGTGTTTCAGACTCAGACACCCATCACACAGGATGGGAAATTAACTGGCTAGACAGGCAGACTCTCTCTCCAAGTCCGAAAAAAAAAAAAAAAAAGTGGCTTTGGATGACTGCCCGGAGCAGGAAATGGAGCCGGAGTCTGGCTACAGTGTGCACAGCTATCTTTCTAGCTAGAGAGAGAGGACGCTACCACAGTCTCTCCTATTGGTCTGGTGACCCGTTTCGATACAGAACTGATTAAATGCACATCAGGCAAACGTGGCACCCTGATTAATCAGCCCCATTTCTTAGCTCTGCAGTCACTTTGCGTTACCGAGAGCGCACAGCTGAATGAGTGGATCTTGTTTCAGTTACCACTCTCTGCCCGGGGGTTTGAAGTCAGCCTGTGGGCTAACTGCCCAGAGTGCGAGAATCCAGCCGTCACAACAGCTGACCTTTCACCAGGGCGCTCGAGTCACCAGTCCGACCAGACACTTTCCAGCTCGGCGGTACAAAGAGGGTCTGCGCGCGTCTTTCAGAACAGCCTAGACGTCGAGAGCGAACAGCCTGCGTCTTACGCTCTTCTCAGACAAAAAAAATAAATAATAATAATTACCTGGACACCAGGTGTATCTTGAACCTGTATGGCCACTTGTTCTCCATCAACTTGGATTTCTCTGGTGTAAAGTGTACCTGTTAATTAAAAAAAAAGCGATCAGCGTTGAGACATCCTATATATAGAACAAATGTTACCAAAATGAAAACAACGCATTAGCTGTCCTTTAACGGATCTTACCCGAGTTTCTCTCGTAGTCTCCAATGAAGCGCCTGGTTAGAAACCTTACCACCAGAGCTGCAGGAAAAAAAAAGATGCGGGTTACATTAGATCACCGCTTTCCGTGCGTTTGGGTCTTTTAAAGCTTTTAAAACCGAGCACAACGAGTAGAAGATAAGGCTGGCGATTGGAGATGTAAACGAAATACACTTTATATCGTAATCGTCCCCAAGATAGAGCTTTTATCTGCGGTTTTTTATTCTCACCCGTGTGCTTCGTTGCCCTGAAAGGTGCTTTGTAAAAGGTCTGGTCGACAGAGAGCCGCCGGCTATACAGAAGCACATACTGTATCAAGCAAACGTCCATACGACGCCGATCCTTACAGAAGTAGTAGTAAGTGCAACCTTAAAGAAAACTATCTCCCGACGTTTGAAACTCCATGATCCTTAAAACTGGGAACCCGCTGCAAAGTCGCTACCGCTTGATTTAGCGGCTGTACTCACCAGTTTTTCCTACCCCGCTGGCCCCAATGACGGCGATTTTAATCACTCTGCCCGCCGGGCACTCGGGCGCAGGGTACTCCGCGATAGTGGACATGTTCTGGATGAGACGCATCTTCATGGGGATGTGCGGACGGTCGCTGGATCACGCCAGAGGGGATCTGAACACAAGCCCCTCCAGGCAGCGCTTCTTGTATCCGCCTCAGCAGGCGCGCAGATGCGGATAATCCTTGTTTGTGTACAGAGAGTACCCCGCCGGCTCAGCTGATGCGCACCGCGTCCTCTCCGGGAATGTTCTGTCCTGCCGGCAGATCCCAGGGCCTTTATAGCGCGGCGGCTGCGCGCTCCCGCTCATTGGCCGCGGCCCGTACAGCGCGTCCCCGCCTCCGCCTTCACGTGGACCTGCGGAGCAAACACGGGGGGCGGGGGGAGGAGGGACAGGTGGGCTTCTGCCCGCAGGATTAACAAAACACCCTTTCTCTCCGGACGGACAGTGCGGCACAGTGCGCCTGTGCGCGGAAAGGGGTGGACACCGGACCCCACTTTCTGACCCTCAGCTTGCGGCTGTCCCCCACGATGCCCGCTGAGTTACACTGCTGTAGTTGAGCGTGCAAACGAAACGTTCCGATCCTTCGCCCCTCTTTAGATACGAGTTATTCACTTGGCTACACACTGCGGTTACATTTACACGAGAAAGTCCCGTCTGTTTTGATTTTTTTGTCTCTGATTCCAAGGCTGACTTGGAGCTGGTCCTGCAGTGTCCTTTCCCAGTGTCACTCGATCCGAGAGGTGAAGTAACTCGCAGTCCTGGGCTGCGGACACTCTGCTGCCCGATGTCGGGGCCACGGAGCCCCACGGGCTCCACACAAAGACAGAGGAACGTGGGTGCAGAGGAGAAACACCCGAACCCAAAAGCTACATAAGCATCGTTGTCTTCTAGGTATCACGTATATTATACAAACGTTACATTATTATGCAGGTATAGCGCAATCCTGAAAGAAAAGTTGTATTACCGTGAAAACTGTTGTTTTTCAAGTCTCAAATGTCAGTGGACAGGATGAATATGAAATGTTCTGGGCACAGCACATTTTACATTACAAAACAAAGTATTTTTTTTTAAATCTACAATGTACCCTTTGACATATTTTCCATCAACACTTTGACATAAGTTTTTGTCCTACAGTATAAAAGTATAGCAAATATTTTCAGGCAAATGTTTTGTGAATATTGCCTTGAATTCTAAATCTGTACAATTGCATTCCAGTTTCACTGTGAAAACAGTGAACAGGAGATAAATGTCATAGAAATATCTTCCCAGAAGAATAAATGCTGTCCTGTCTTACAAGCCCTGATTCTGAAGTACATGCACACCAAGGGGCAGTTCTCCACACGTTCAGGCATGTTCAACAAGGAGCCTTGCGCTCACCTTACACAGGTACTCAACCCCGTGTATTGTCAGCCACAGGGCACTCGGGACAGTGCTCATACTGACCAGAGGGGCTTTGGTAACAGAGGCAGGTATGTCAGGGTCACTTGGTTGTGAGGTGTCCAGCATTCTGCTAGAGATTTGCACAGTAAACTCAGACTGCACAGCCCAAAATCAGAATCTCACAGCACAGCCTAGGACGCAGACTGCTGGTTCAAACCCACAGCACAGCCCAGGACCAACTGAGGGAGAGTCTGCCCTCTGGAGCATATCAAGAGCCAAATCAATAGCCCAGTGTGTTGACTGAGGACAATGTACAGTGGGAGATTCATAATATTGACCCCA